GTTCAGTTTGTTTACGTCTGGGATTCTCTCCCGACGCCGCTTCTGCTGGGGGGGGGAGCTAACTTTTAGAACTTTTTCGCTCGGTTTTTTCTCCGATTCATTGACGGTCTACTCACAGATCTCTTGTAGTTACGCTCATTCGTTGACCTTCTTGCTTGTCCCGGCTGGCATCAGCTATGCTCGGTAAAAACTGAGCCTCACAGGGGGTGGACCGATTGGGGCAAAAAGGAGCGCCTCAATTCTCCGGCTTCCGCCATCGAAGAGGTCGCCCCCCCGGTGCCCCCGGCTCGGAGCCTTTAACTAAGGCTAACCTGGGGGTGCCACTTGAGGTGGCACTCCTCCAACACCCCTGGAGCGCGGATTGCCTCCCCAGCTTCAGGGGAGAGCATCCGCCATCGCTGAGCCGCAGACCGGAAGTCGCAACCCTGGACTTCCTTGATGGTTTACCATCCAAATACTAACCAGGACTGGCCCTACTTGCTTCCTAGATCTGATGAGATCAGACTAGCTTGGGCTAGGCAGGGCAGGGCAAGGGGTGATATTAGGGAAGGCCTAATGCCTTCACATCCTACTTGTGGATGTCCTATCTTGTGGGCTGCACTAGGAAACAGGATGCTGGTCTACATGGACAATTGTTGAGATCCCGTGGGTCCATTTCTGTGCTAAGGCTCAAACTGTGGGTTGGGACCCTAAAAATGGGTCATTACTCTCTTGTTGGTGGTTTTATGAGGAGGCAAGAGGAGAAGGAGCAGGGTGAGTGGGGAAGAGGGGGTTCATTCACAGACTTGAATAATGTATGAAATAGCCATAAATTGCAGCTTGCTTGTTTTTTGGTTTGTGTGTGTGTGTGTATACATAAAGCTATCTATCCTTATTTACCCAAATCTAATCTAAAATATCAAGCTTGAAAAAAAATAGAATAAATACTTATTCACTGTTAACTGACATGAAAGACCTATATTTGATGTCAAGGAAGAAAGTAGCATGAAATTACTCCCTGAAAAGTCTACTAAATTACGAAGCTTATCCTGAGACTTTAAGGAACCTTCATATGTGGCTACAGCCACCTATTGGATAGATCTTGTGTTCTCTGTCTAGCGTAGTCAATTGACTTGAGATCACTGCCCGATTTTACTGACTGCCCAGTTGTTATTTTTTCAGCCACTATTTTGTTGTTGTGAAGGCCAGCGGTTGGAACCAATTAAGCAAACGGAGCTACAGGAATACAAGGAGCAGTTGTAGTAAGCCTCTTTCAGGTTGTACGGGCTGTGCCGTTTCTCCCGATTGCCTATCTCCGATCACTTACCTCAGCATGGTGACCTTGAGCACAGTTTCTTCACGATAAATGCCCTTTGCTTCCCTTCTAGATTTTGAACAGGAGTCTAGGATTAAGACAGCTGTGCAGCTTACCACAGACCCTTCTGTTGGACTTTCAACAACCCCAGCAGTGTTGCCCGTCACATCGGTACAGCCTGTCGCCACTCCCTTCGCGCCATTCCCGGCTGAGGAAACCACCTATGATCCAGCCACCAGCGACCTCTATGTAACCAAGGTGACTGAGGCACCGGCAGTCACCATCTGGAAAGCGGTTACCACCACGGCAGGCACCACCATCCATGACACCACCACGACCACCATGGCCACCACCACCACGGCCTCTACCACAACTGCTGCTTCCAAGACAACAACTGTCCTGAGAGTCCTGCCTCCCTTTATCACTATTGTAGCCACCACACAGGTGGTGACTCTTGAAACACCAATTGTAGCTACTGCGGCTCCCAATACAGAATCCACCGCAGCTCCTCTGGTGACCACCAGCTTGACAAAGATCAGAGGGATGCCAAAGCCGAGTCCGTCACAACATCCAGACATCACGCTGCCACCACCTACGACTACAGTAGCGCCTTCAGAATCAACCCAGGTATGGAGATTTATTTTAGGGAAAATGTTGAGGGTGCCTTCAGATATTCCCTTCCTAGAGGGAGCTGGGTAATGTTTTTCCCCCTACTGCGGGGTAAGCTCTGCTAACCATTCCCATCTACTTAATGTCTCTAATCACACATGTACCTGGCTGTAATTTTTCTATGCCCTTTCCTACCATAGCAAAGGTTTTGTGGTTTTTTTTAAAAAATCAGGCTTTTCTTATGATAAATTCAGTGCATTAAAAAAAACAAAGCTTATAAACATTTGAAATGTTGCTCTGGGCAGAGAGGAGGGAGGGAATGGTAAAGGCCACAGGGTCCAACCGATCTGGATTCTGCAGAGCCATCTGAGAAGGGGAGGGAGTGTCCTCTTGATTGTCAAAGTCAAAAGGCTCAATTGTCACAAGGCCCAACCATTCTGGATTCTGCACAGCTATCTTACAAGGGGAGGAAGTGGCTTCTTGATTGGCACAAGGCCCAACCAATCTGGATTCTGCACAGCTATCTGAGAAGAGAGGGAGTGGTCATAATGACTGTCACAAGGGCCAACCAACCTCTACTCTACATAACCAGGGTGGCTTATGTAGTGAGGCACAGGGAGGGGAAAACAAACTACAAGGGTAAGAAAGAAGTCAAATAAAGGACCAATATTAACAACTAAGTTAAAACTTATAATATACAAAAATACATGTATTTATTAGAAAGACAGTTAAAAACATATAAGGGCCCAATTAAAGCCTTGTAAACAAATAAAGGTGGCCTAAACCCAAGGGCCAGTACACATGACCTGACATGTTTCTGCCCTATTGGGACCTCTGAATACATGTATAATATACATAAATGCATGTGTTTTTCTATATTATAAGTTTTAACTTAGTTTTTAATATTGGCCCTTTATTTGACTTCTTTCTTACCCTTGTGGTTCTTGATTCTGGTTTATGTAGTGAACCTTCTTTTTGGGATATTGTTTCCCACTTTTCAGTGCATCTACACCCTCAAAGTGCTAACAAAAAGTAATGAAAAATAGTAACTAAAACACTGCAAAATACCATTTGGGACTATGAAAGATTCCCTTCACCCTGTTGCAGCTCCCCAGCAACTGGCATTTGGAGATTATATGTTGCCTCTGAACATATAGCCACTGTGTCCTAGTAGCCATTGATGGAGCTGTCCTCTGTAAATTTGTCTCATCCTCTTTTATCTGTTTACTTTATTTATAACCCGCCTTTCTTGAGAAGACTCAAGGTGATTTACAGGACATAAAAAAATGCAATCAGACAGCATGAAGCAACCTGTGAACAAAGCAACAGGGCTAGGATTAGAGGATTACAGAACGATGCAGACTAGGGAAGGCAGGTAAACTATAAATAAATAGAAGTGGATTAGAAGGTAAGGACAATGCAGTAAAAGCAGGTGGTACCTACCATAATCATTGCAGCGGACTGCTCCATTGTAGAAGCAGAAGAAGAGATTGGATTTATACCCTGCCCTTCACTTGGAGTCTCAGAGCGGCTTACAAACTCCTTCCCCTTCCCCTCCCCACAACAGACACCCTGTGAGGTGGGTGGGGCTGAGAGAGCTCTGACAGAAACTGCTCTTTTCAAGAACACCTCTGACAGAACTATGGCTTGCCCAAGGTCATCCAGCAGCTGTGAGTGGAGGAGTGGGGAATCAAACCCAGTTCTCTCAGATTAGAGTCTGTGCACTTAACCAGTACATCATACTAGCTATGTAACTGTAAAGGTGCTTTCCTAGGCTGTTCATTCTACTCCAGTTCTAATCTCAAACCTGAGAGTTTTGCATATTCTGTGGAATGGACATCCCTGCATCCATTGGCAGTGAGTTCCACAGGTTAATTATGCATCACGTGAAGAAGTATTCTCTTTTTTATCTGTCCCGATAACAGGGCTTTAATAGAACAGGGCTTTTTCTACAAAAAAGCCCAGCAGAAACTCATTAGCATAATAGGCCACACCCAACAGTTGGAACATATTAGTATATTAGGCCACACCCCTGACAGTGCAGCTCATTAGCATAATAGGCTACACCCCCATGTTACCAGAAGTGTGATCATCCAGCCACACCCACTTTTTGCTTCTTATTTTGTTTACCTTGTTTGTTGTCAAGATCCTATAGAAGCATTATTTTTGTAAAAAAAGTTTCCAATTCCATACTTTTAATAATTAATATAATTAATATTATATTTATTTTTTAATTTACTTTCCATTTCTAGACCGCTCACCCCCGAAGGGCTCTGAGCGGTTTACAGCATACAATTTAACGATCCTAGCTAGGGCCACATAGTACTGGGGAGGGGAATACCTATCAGGCACCCTACCGGCTACTTTGTTAATCCAGCGGCTCTCCTTCCTCCGACTCTGCGCGGTGGCTCGACTCGGCTCGACTCTTGCAGTGGCTCCTGCTGGGTGCTTCTGTCGCCGCGACTCTGTGACGATCCCTGCACCGGCCTCCGTCCTAATTGGCTCCGGCTGGGCTTGCGTTGTCATGTCGCCGCGCCATTCGGACCAGTCCCCGCTCGCCTTGCTCAATGTTTTGACGCCGTTTTTCCGCCATCTTTCCGCCGCACTCCATTGGATCGGGTCGCCCTGTTGTCGCCGGCACCACTGCTCCATCTCGCCGCTGCTCCACCAGAGGCGGGTGCCCCCCTGCACCTATGGCAGGTACCCATTTATCTACTTGCAAGCTTTCGAACTGCTGGGTGGGCGGGAGCTAGGATTAGGGCCAGGAGCTCACCCGATAGATTTAACTTTGCAGGCTCTTTACTGCCTGCGCCACCGCTCCCGTTAAAAGTTAAAAGTAACTGTTAATGTTACTTTTAAAAGTAACATTAACAGTAACATAAGCAAACATCTCAATAAACACTCTGGAACTTGGAAGTGTGTCAGAAGGCAACATCCACTGCTCAGTGTCAGGGTCAGCAGCAAGTAAATCTCCACACACGTTTCCAAGGAAGCGTTATGCTTTATTAGATTACAAAACTGGTACCATATCCACAGGATTATTGTTAGGAATAACCAAGGGGCAGAAACATCCCTGCATAGAAGGATGAGGCAAATGTCTAAGCAAATGAAACTCGAGCCGTGCGGGGGAATTCTCCCGGTGGGAGGATACGTAATAAGCCGAAGAGTCTCAGTGCCTCATGAGAGCCGAAAGATTCACACCAGCGATGGAACGCAAGCCCTCCCCGCTTCACAAGGCCAGACAGATAACGCCGTCTGGCAGCACTGGTTCTCACGGTCTCCCTATCGCTGTTTACGGCAAGCAGCAGAGCAGCGAGCAAGCCAAGATCAGAGAAGGGAACAAGCAAAACGTGGCAGCTAGCTGACATCCTGCCCCCTCAAAAACACATCAACCACCTTCCATAGTAGACAGGGGGCCTCCCGGTTTCTCCGGGAACCGGGCGTGGAACTTCTGCAGGAGTTTAGGGGCCCGCACATCTTTACCCACCTCCCACTTCCGATGCTGGGGGCTCCACATAGGCCAGGGGATGGAGTTTGCCATCAGTTCCTTCTTGCAAAATCGCCCCACCCATAGCAACATCCGTGGCGTCCGTTTGCACCATAAACTTTTTAGTTTCATCTGGGTGCGCAAGAATGGGTTCAGTGGTAAAAAGGCCTTTCAATTTCTCGAATGCCTCTTGGCATTCAGGGGTCCACAGTAGCTTAGCCCTCGGCTTAGTAGCCTCTGGACCCTTTCCCTTTGTTTTCAGTAAGTCAGTGAGGGGTAAGCTCACCTGGACAAAGTTTGGCAGGAAATTTCTATGGAAATTAGCAAACCCTAAGAAACTTTGGAGTTGCCGGCGAGTTCTGGGGGCCTCCCACCCCAAAAGGTCTTTTACTTTCCCCCGGTCCATTTCTATGCCGCGAGGGGAGATGTGATAGCCTAGGAAATCAATATCCATTGTATGGAACTCGTATTTTGACAGTTTGGCAAATAGTTTGTGCTTGTGCAACTTTCCGGAGGACCTCTCTCACCAACTGCACATGAGAGGTCTTGTCGGTGGAGTACACCAAAATGTCGTCCAAGTACACAAGCACCCCCTTAAACAGGTGCTGAAAGGAGAGATGGCTAAGGTGCTGGCAGAAGAGCTAGAAGTGGGGGCAAAAGAAGAAGTGGAAAGTAATATCGACCTAATCTTTAGGAAAAATACTTCGTACTCTAGGAAAAATAAAACTCCAAGAGAGATTCACATTAAATTTAATAAAAAGAACTAAGGGACAAAACTCTACGGGCTTCAAGTCAGAAGCAGGTGACAATAGATAATCATGAAGTCAAATTCTTAAGAGATACACCATGGCGGGTAAGGGAAAAGAGATTTGATTATTTCAAATTGACTATAAGCTACTTAAAAAGAATGAGATTCTTTACAGGTGGTTGTTACCATAAGGAGTAATATTCACATATCAAGGGAGAAGATTTAATATCAACTCAGTCTTTAAAATGGAGAACTTTTTAGAAAGATTTGGACGAGATCTAGGAGGACAAAATGAGGACGAATCATCAGAAACATCGGAAGAAGAGCCAGAAGAAGGAGCAAGTAATCTACGGCAACAATGGGGAAACAAGAGACAAAAAAGAAAAGAGAATGAAGAAAACCAGAGAGAATGGTATCAAATGTATTAATATAGGAAAAAAGAACAGAACAGAACAACAGAACAACAAAGATACAGAAGATGGCGAAGTTACAGAAGATTAAAATTATCTCGGTGAATGTCAATGGGCTTAATGGGCCACAAAAAAGGAGGAAAATATTCCAACAACTACATAAGGTTAATGCAGATATAACTTGTATCCAAGAAACCCATATATATAAAAAAGAAGAAAAATATTTAGAAGACAAGAAGTTAGGAATGGTGTTTACTAATTTGGAGAAATCAAAAAAGAAAAAGGGAGTAGCCACATATGTAAAAGAATATTTACAGCCTAAACTAGAGTTTAACTTAGAGGAGGGAAGAGGAATAGCAGTCTCAATAGTAAG